AGGACTGTCTGCATGGGGATGCATGGAACACTCATACATCCCCCATGCAGACTCATACATCCCCCATGCAGGTAAACATGGCTCTGGCCAGGCGCACTCTGTAGTACACCCATGTCAACAAGGCCTTACAAGAAAAATATATAAACCTAAATGGGAATCTAATAACTCCCACTCTATCCAAAACAAGAAAGTTTGGGCTTTGTATACACTTTAACGTCGGTAGTTCGTGTGTACATAAGGGGTGGGCTCAAAAAAGTAGATGACATTGGTTCCTGGCTGTCTTGTATCGGCTCCTGGCTGGCTGGGATCGGCTCCTGGCTGGCTGGGATCGGCTCCTGGCTGGCTTGGATTGGCTCCTGGCTATCGTGTATTGGATCCTGGCTGTCTTGGATTGGATCCTGGCTGTCTTGGATTGGTTTCTGGCTGTCTTGGATTGGTTCCTTGTTGTCTTGGATTGGCTCCTGGCTGTCTTGGATTGGTTCCTGGCTGTCTTGGATTGGCTCTTGGCTGTCTTGGATTGGCTCCTGGCTGTCTTGGATTGGCTCCTGGCTGTCTTGGATTGGCTCCTGGCTGTCTTGGATTGGCTCCTGGCTGTCTTGGATTGGCTCTTGGCTGTCTTGGATTGGCTCCTGACATTTACACAGAGGACAGCTCCAACTCCAGGCCACAGCTTATGATAAAGGGAAGGGCTCCCTCTAGTGTCCGTCTCGCACATGACCTCCATGCAGCCTGCACGCCCACCGATGACTTCACTAGCAGGGCGACACCGCCGTCCAAATCTCCCGCGGAATAGCGATCGCGGCTGTACCGAGCTGTATCGGAGCAGGCGGGGGATGGAACCTGTACACGTCCTACCGATCGTATGACAATTGGTGGTATATTTCACAGTGAACATGTCTTCCCGGACTCTGCAGTATGGTGAGCACTGACACTCCAGCCATCCAATCACATACACAGAACGGTGCCCTCCAACTTCTCGTGTGATTAGAATACCAGAACCTCTGACCCCATCCGCCCTCATCGTTCTCCATGCACAGCAATACAAACACCAGAACGTCCACATTCTTCTATATTGGCTGTATTATCAGGAAAGCATCCAGTGTGCTGCACTTTTGGATGCCCTTTAGGTCCTCTTAGAGTCAGCTGAATGGAGGCTTTGTGAACACCAACACATCTGAAAATGCACGACAATGCACAGTGTCAGCAAGCTGTCACTTTTAGCAAGCCAGAAAATTGTCTTTTGGATGCCTGTCCTCCTTGGTGTTGTATATATCAGACACAGTGGTCTGTGGTTGATATATACACTATATTGCCAAAAGTATTGGGCCACCTCTCCAAATCATTGGATTCAGGTGTTCCAATCACCTCCATGACCACAGATGTATAAAATCAAGCACCTAGGCATGCAGACTGCTTCTACAAACATTTGTGAAAGAATGGGTCGCTGTCAGGAGCTCAGTGAATTCAAGCTTGGTATCGCGATAGGTTGCCACCTGTGCAATAGGTCCATCCGTGAAATTTCCTTGCTACTAAATATTCCACGGTCAACTATTCGTGGCTGAGTTGCTGTTGTTCCCACTTTGTTTTAATACCACTAAGTGGTAGGCCGCGTAACATGACAGAGCGGGGTCAGCTCATGCTGAAGGGCACAGTGTACTGAAGTCGCCAACTGTCTTCAGAGTCAATAGCTAAAGACCTCCAAACTTTGTGTGGCCTTCAGATTAGCACAACAACAGTGCATAGAGAACTTCATGGAATGGGTTTCCATGGCCGAACAGCTGCATCCAAGCCTTACATCACCAAGTGCAATGCAAAACGTCAGATGCAGTGGTGTAAAGCACGCTGCCACTGGACGCTAGAGTAGTGGAGACATGTTCTCTGGATTGGCTAATCGCGCTTCTCTGTCTGGCAATCTGATGGACTTGTCTGGGTTTAGTGGTTGCCAGGAGAATGACTGCTTTGCTCCAAGTGTAAAGTTTGGAGGAGGGGGATTATGGTGTGGGGTTGTCTTTCAGGGGTTGGGCTTGGCCCCTTAGTTCCAGTGAAGGGAACTCTTAAGGCATCAGCATACCAAGACATTTTGGACAATTTCATGCTCCCGACTTTGTGGGAACAGTTTGGGGATGGCCCCTTCCTGTTCCAACATGACTGCGCACCAGTGCACAAAGCAAGGTCCATAAAGACATGGATGAGCAAGTTTGGGGTGGAGGCACTTGACTGACCTGCATAGAATCCTGACCTCAACCTGATAGGTCAGGATAAATTAGAGCAGAGTGTGCGAGCCAGGCCTTCTCATCCGACATCAGTGCCTGACTTCACAAATGCACTTCTGGAAGAATGGTCAAACATTCCCATAGACACATTCCTAAACCTTGTGGACAGCCTTCCCAGAAGAGTTGAAGCTGTTATAGCTGCAAAGGGTGGGCCATCTCAATATAGAACCCTATGGATTAATACTGGGATGCCATTAAAGTTCATGTGCGTGTAAAGGCAGGCGCCCCAATACTTTAGACAATATAGTGTATTATATATATATATAGGGGTTGGACAAAAAAATGGAAACCCTATATGATTTGTAGGTGTGAAAGTGATGACATGTTGCACATTGAAAGTGATGTAACATTGTTTCTAAGACCCTGTACATACGATGAGAACATATGACAAATGTTTTTTTTTTTTTTTTGTATGCTAGTCTCCTATCGAAAGTAAAGATGTTAATAAAGTTAATTTGAAAGTGTTGTAATTTATTTGTATTGTATTTTCGGACAAAACCTGTACTGATCGAAAATCGTACGATCTGGTGTAATGCGAGAAAAAATTTCATGCTTGTCCCTTCAAATAAATTTTGGACTAGGAAAGCTGTGTACTAACAATCAGAATCATATGATTGCTTCGAAAGCGATATTTTTTGTACAATTTTCTGATTGTATGTACTAGGATTTATGCAGAACCCTCCCTAGCACAGAGTTTAAGTATCATTTTCTGAACCATTGACTTTTTACCAACCGTATAACCTAATTGCTACTGTGTTTATATACAGGGATTAGATTAAAACAAAATGGAAACACTACATGATTTGCAAGTGTGAAAGTGGTTACGTGTTTCGCATTGGAAGCGATGTACCATTATTTTGCTTCCACTGTGTGATGAGACACCTGGCTAACAGGTGGGAAGCCTCACTTTTTTGTTATTCACTGCATGCCCTACCAGTAATATGGAGTCTTGTCAGAGCTTACTGAGCTTCAAAGAGGGCAAATTGTTGGTGCCCGTTTAGCTGGTGCATCTGTGACAAAAGTTGACAATTTATTTGCAGTGTCATGAGGTGCAGTATCAAAGGTTATGACGGCATATACAGTTTTTGGGAAACCGTCGCCTGCTAAGCATAAGGGTGGTCGACATGGTCAACCAAAAGCGAAAAAAATATTGGATTGTGAGCCGAAATAAGAAAACTGCTGCAAAATTGATTGCAGAGCTCAATCCCTGTCCCATGAAGACAGAGAGCTGTGAAGACTTGAGATTGAGCTCTGCAGTCACTTTTGCAGCAGTTGTTTTTTTAGTCCAGGTCAAAATCCTGCGCAATGTCCTTTTGCCTCTTTCGGTCAGGTGACCATGTTCACCTTGCTTATGCTTCTCAGACATCAGTTTCCCGGAGACTGTATATGCCATCATAAACGTTTGATACTGTACCTTGCAACATGGCAAACAAATTGGCAACTTCAGTTACATAATTTCCGCTTTCAACTCGAAACATATCCTCACTTTCACACCTGCAAATCATGTAGTGTTTCCTTTTTTTTTTGTCTAACCCCTGTATGAGAGAGAAAATGTTATTTTTTTGTGTGTGTCATAAAGAATTCATTGAATCATTTAACAACATTTTTGACTCATCAAAATAGCCACCTTTTGCAGGTATAACAGCCGAACATACTCTGTTCATTCCTTCTACAGCAGAAATCAAATATTGTTGGGAAAGTTCTTCACAACACTGTTACAGAAGTTCCCACAATTTTTGTTATTTATGTAGGCTGCTTTGCTTTCACTAATTTTTTTTCCAGTTCATCCCAAACCAGCTCAATGGGGTTTATATGTGGAGACTGCTGGCCATTCCACGATTTGAAGCCTATCATCTTGTTCCCCCCTTCTAAGGTAGTTCTGACACAGCTTGGAGATATGTTTTGGGTCATTATCTTGCTGTAGGATGAACCCCTGCCCAACTAGGTGTATTCCAGAGTGTATTCCATGGTGCTGCAAAATGCTTTGGCAAGTGCAAGTCACCAACTTTGGCTCAAGGAAGAGATTCTCAAACCATCACGCTTCCTCCTCCATCTTTTGACAGTTGGTGTCACACACTGAGGAACCATCCATTCAGCTACTCAACGTTGTACAAAAACCATGATTCATCGGCCCATCGGTAGTGTATATATGTATGCTGAGAGAAGGGCTGACGACCTAAAAAGAAAAAGGCAAGAAATTGATATAACTATAGATAAATAGCTCAGGTGGTTTCGGACTAGGATCCAAACACAACTCAGCTTATCACTGCTGATGTACTGACGTAAGACAGGAAAAAGATAATCTCATTGGACCAGAGGGTGACCATTATGGGCCATAAAACTGGGCACTGCTCAACCTAGTAAGAGTCAGTCAAGTGCAACTAAATTAAAAAGGGACCTAGTCAAACCTTTTTTGTCTTTTATTGGTGACATAAGGTATCTTGTATGTGTACTCTTAGTGTGAAAAGGTTTTAAATGCTTCTGATCTGCTGTTTCAAGTTTCCCTCCTTAAGCTGGCCATACAGATTAAGAAAACAGTGGCTTTCCCCATGTACACAACAGTGTGGATGGAGGAATGTGCAGTGCCAAAATCCATGTATGGTGAGCTTTAGATTCTTGTCCCAAAAGGGTGTGCCTTTGTCTCACTGTCTCACCAGTGATTTTTGAAGAAGAGAAAATATTAGGTGCTATCTGTTTATTGCCTTTTTTTTCTACTTGTATTTCTTAGTAAATGGTCGTCTTCCAATGCTCCAGCTAGAGGAAGAGGATCTGGAGAAGAATCCACAGTTTAGTAAACTTTTGCTGGAACTATGTCAGATTTTGGAGCCAAGTGGTGGAAGCACCACCTTAAGTTGTGAATTGGAAGAGGTAACTATTCCTGCTTTTATCAGAAGGCTCTCCAAACCGTTACCACTACTAACATCCATATAAAGATTGCTAGAAAACCATGGACTTGTGTATGTTTTGTACAGTGGATATAAAAGGTCTATACAACCCTGTTAAAATGTCAGGTTTCTGTGATGTAAAAAAATGAGACAAAGATAAATCATTTCAGAACTTTTTTCACCTTTATACCCTGGTCATATCGGGTGCGACTTGGCATGCGATTTGCAAATCGTATACCAAGTCGCACCCTATTGTCCACTATTAGAGCGGTCATATCGGTGCGGTTCTGACCAAGTCAGAACCACACTGATTTTTATAGTAGTGCATGCACTACTTTTGTTGCGATTTGCACAGAGATCTGTGTCAGATGTCTTGCAAATCGCAACTGACAATGGCAGGTCACCCGATTTTGAAATCATGCGACTTCACTGTAAGTTGCACGATTTCAAAATCGGCTTTGATTTGACCAGGGCTTAATGTAATTTATAAACTGTACAACTCCGTTGAATAACAAACTGAAATCCTTTAGGTGGAGGGAAGTAAATATAAAAGACTAAAATAATATGGTTGCATAAGTGTGCACACCCTTAAACTAATACTTTGAAGCACCTTTTGATTTTGTTCCAGCACTGTCTTTTTGGGTATGAGTCTATCAGCATGGCACATCTTGACTTGGCAATATTTGCTCACTCTTCCTTGCAAAAACACTCCAAATCTGTCAGATTGTGAGGGCATCTCCTGTGCACAGCCCTCTTCAGATCACTCCACAAATTTTCGATCGAATTCAGGTCTGGGCTCTGGCTGGGCCATTCCAAAACTTTAATCTTCGTCTGGTGAAGCCATTCCTTTGTTGATTTGGATGTATGCTTTAGGTCGTTGTCATGCTGAAAGATGAAGTTCCTCTTCATGTTCAGCTTTCCAGCAGAAGCCTGAAGGTTCTGTGCCAATATTCACTGTGGTTATGGTGTTCTTTGGTGATGTGCAGTGTTGTTTTTGCGCCAAACGTATCTTTTGGAATTTATGGTCAACCTTGTTCATCAGACCATGACGCATTTCCCCACATGCTTTTGGGAGACTTCAGATGTGTTTTTGCAAAATTAAATAAAAGATCCAGTCTAATACATTACTTGGGGTAGTATAATATGGAGGAGGTGGATGTGTACCTTCCATATACAGTTGGGTCCATATATATTTGGACACAGGCACAATTTTAGTTTTTGTTGTTTTTTTTTGTTTTTTTTCCAGGTATTTACCAAAACATATTCAAGCTAAAGTTCTATAATTGATATGGTCTGAAAGTGCACACTCTTAGGTTTAATTTGAGGGTATGTACATCCAAATTGGAGGAAGGGTTTAGGAATTACAGCTCTTAAAAGGAGCCACCCCCCCTTTTTTCAAGGGACCAAAAGTAATTGGACAATTGAATCAAAAGCTGTTTCATGGCCAGGTGTGGGCTACTCCTTTTTGTTATTTTTTCATTAATTAAGCAGGTAAAAGGTCTGGAGTTGATTCTAAGTGTGGTATTTGCATTTGGAATCTATTGCTGTGAACCTACATCATGTGTTCAAAGGAGCTGTCCATACAAGTGAAACAAGCCATTGTAAGGCTGCGAAAATAAAACAAATTCATCAGAGAGATAGCAGCAACATTAGGAGTGGCCAAATCAACAGTTTGGTACATTCTGAGGAAAAAGAAGAACACACTGGTGAGCTCAGTAACTTAAAAAAGCATGTATGTCCACGGAAGACAACAGTGGTGGATGATCGCAGGATCCTCTCTATGGTAAAGAAAAACCAATTCACAGCATCCAGACAAGTGAAGGACACTCTGCAGGGGTGGGGGTATCATTGTCAAAGTCGATAAGACGATTTCACGAGAGCAAATACAGAGGGTCCACCACAAGGTACAAACCATTCATAAGCCTGAAGAAAGAAAAGCCAGATTAGACTGCCAAAAACATCTAAAAAAAAAAAAAAAAAAGCCAGACCAGTTCTGGAAAAGCATTCTTTCAATGGATGAAACTAAGATTAATCTGTACCAGAATGACGGGAAGAAATAACTGTGGAGAAGGTTTGGAACAGCTTATGATCCAAAGTACACATTGTCATGTGTAAAACATGGTGGAGGCAGTGTGATGGCATGGGCATGCATGGCTTCCAGTGGCACTGGGTCATTGGTATTTATTGATGACGTGACAGAACACAGAAGCAGCCGGATGAATTCTACAGTGTTTAGAGATATACTGTCAGCCCAGATTCAGCCAAATGCAGCAAAGTTGATTGGACGGTGCTTCACAGTACAGATGGACAATGATCCAAAACACACTGCAAAAGCAACCCAGGAGCTTTTGAAGGAAAAGAAGTGGAATATTCTACAATGGCCGAAGCAATCATCTGATCTCAACCCAATTAAGCATGCATTTCACTTGCTGAAGGCAAAACTAAAGGCAGAAAGACCCACAAACAAAGAACAACTGAAGACAGCTGCAGTTAGAGCCTGACAAAGCATCAGAAAGGAGGAAACCCAGTCTTTGGTAATGTCCATGGGTTCCAGACTTCAGGCAGTCATTGCCAGTAAAGGATTCTCAACAAAATATTACAAATTAACATTTTATTTATGACTATATTCACTTATCCAATTACATTTGAGCCCCTGAAAATGGAGGGACTGTGTATAAAAAATGGTTGCAGTTCCTAAAATTTGTACTTGATATATTTATGTTCAATCCCTTGAATTAAAGCTGAAAGTCTCCACTTCAAATTAATTTGGAATATTTCGTTTTAATTTATTCTGGTGGCATACAGAGCCAAAAGTATGAAAATTGTGCCTGTGTCCAAATTATATATGGACCTAACTGTATACTAGCAGTCGGCCCCACAACTAAATTCGTATTAGGAAAGAACAAGTCGCAGGACACTGATCCCTTAGACTTGGGTATGAAAGTATATGTGAACCTTCCCCCTGTAAATTAACCCATTCAGTTTAAAATAGAAATGCAAGGCAAAAGTGTGTGTGTGTGTGTGTGTGTGTGTGTGTGTTAAATTTTAATTACTTTTTTCAGCTGCATAAGGGGGTTAGAAAACAGGGGGTGGAAAATTCAGGAGGTAGAGAGAGCAATACATTGTTCCCAGTGAAGAGCTGTGCAGGGGGACATGTCAGCACAAGTCTTGTCACTAGTCAGCAGGCTATGTTCCCAGCACAGCCAGAAACTGACGACGCTGGGAAGGATGTGCTGTCGTGCCTAGCATGCTAAGTTTGAAAAGAAAGCAGGGGGACAGGCAGGATCATCAACTATTTAACAAAAAAAAGACAATACAAAGGGAACAGGATACGTTTTAATGGTACAACAGACAGATATCAAGAATATGAAATGTTGGGGTAATATACACGTGTATAAAAACATGTGACCATGTATTCCTATGGAACTCTTCATACTGATCCGTTGCAGGTCCAGTGTGTTTATCAAAGTCCTGCTTGCTGCATTTTTTGGTGCAGGGTTGGTGTGGTTAAAAAACAAAACCTATCTCCCATTTGCATTCAATGGAAAAACTTGGCAAAAATGCACCTGTGTTGCGTTTTGGAGTCCTTTTTTAACCACTTGCCACCCGCTGTCATTTGACCATAGGCTGGGTGGCAAGTGAACAGTTCGTCCCTCCGGGAGGGTGTCATATGACGTCCTTCCTGGATCGTACTTTTGTGCGGCATGCAGGGCTGCGCTGTAGCGAGATCTGTCACCGGCCGTGTACCTTGGACACGACTGATGACAGATCTGTGTACCGGCCCCATTGCCAGTACCATGTGACCTGCTGTGCCTAATCACAGCAGGTCACATGACAGTTGCATCCAATGGATGGCTTCCTTTCATGCCATCCATTGTATACAACTGTATCTAGCTGTGAATGGTTACAGCGATCACATGTACAGGCTGGGCCAATCACAGACCATCTGTGTCATGTGATTAGCCGTGGCCAATCACAGCTAATCACAACAAAAACCTGAATGAATCAATTTCATTCAGTTAAATGCTTGGTTATAGTGCAATATGAGAGAATCTTAAAAAAAGAGTGAAAAAATGTAATAAATGTATTTTATTTTTTTGTACTGTCAACAGTCCATGTCCCTGATCACCGCCACACTAGTTATATGCTGACACTGTACTGCAGTGCTGACCATATGTAAAGTAAAAAAAAAAAAAAGGGTGAAAATCATCTTTTTTTTTTTTTTTTTTTTTTTTTTTTCCAAAAAATGACAAAATTACAACTTCAAAAAACTCGCCATACCTCTTATGAGATACGTTGGACTGTCTACTTTGCAAAAAGGGGTCATTTGGGGGATATCTGTACTGTTCTTACATTTTTGGGCCTCAAGAAATTAGATTGGCTGTCAGTACTTCAGGATTGATCAATTGTCAGATATATCCCATAGTTTTTTGAACTCTATAACTTTCCTACAGACTAAATAAATACTGATTTGGGTAATTTTCACCAAAGAAATGTAGCAGAATACATCTTGGTCTAAATTTATAAAGAACAATTATTTATTTGCAAACTTTTATAACAGAAACCAAGAAAACTTTTTTTTTTTTGTTTTTGTTTCAAAATTTTTTTTTTTTTTTTTTAATTTAGCAAAAAATAAAAACCCCAGTGGTGATTAAATACCACCAAAAGAAGGCTCTAGTTGTGTGAACAAAATGATTGAGTTTGAATTTAAAAATTTTGAGTTTAGGTACAGTGTTGCATGACCATGCAATTGTCATTCAAAGTGTGAGTGCTGAAAATTGGCCTGGGCAGGAAGGGGGTAAAAGTGGCCAGTATTGAAGTGGTTAAAAACTACCGTACATTGCAAACGCGACAAAAAAAAAGCGGTACAACTCGTAAGCATTTTTGCTGCAGATCAGTGTAAAAAGTAGCCTAAATCAGCCAACTGCAGGGTTATGGATGAAATGGCTTAATGTAATTTATACATGAATAGCATCATACTTGCTATATGTAAAGGGGACATTATCTTTAACGACCACTTTTTTAGTAGGAATTAAATTTTTTTCTATTTTGCATCAAGGTGCAAAGAGAGCTACGACTGCAAAGGAAGGTGTGGTTGAGATCAGAGGTCATATACAGGCTGATACAGGAGATGCTACTGGATTTACAGGTCAGGAAACAGGAAGGCAAGACAACTGACGACGAGAACAAGGTAGCTTTTCATATCATTTTCCATATGTTTTATTCATTATGTCATTGTCTGCATATTTTTCTTTGTGTCTCATCCGTGCCACTTTTTGTACAGTTTCTGGATGGACTGCAGCAGTGTTTATTGGTCACACAGTGTTCAGACCTCCTGCCTTCCAATAATGATGCAGGATCTACATCTCTTCTTGGGTTGGAGAAACAAGATATGCTTGCCCTTCTTCCTTCAAACATGGTATAAGATGATCAAACTCTTAGTCTAATTTAGTAGTATATATTTTGATGACTGACCACCCTCTGTATATTTTAGGATATTCTCTGGATAAGAGAGAGACTACATAAGCAGCTGGAGGAGGCTTTGCGAAAGAAATGTTTCACTTTCTTGTCATTCCATCAGCCTGAGACAGGTGTGTTCGCATTCTTTACCTGTGCAGTCCTTTTTAATTTCCCACAGATAGGTATCAAATTCCAGTAATTACAGTTTTGGTATGAATGTGCTTCTAGAAACCAATTCCATATTGTGTTAATTTGAAGTTGAAGTGGTGACATAAGCCATTCCAAGTGGCCATTGATGCAGGTCATAGGAAATATTTACGTCTTTTTTGTCTCCCTTTTTTTAAAAAAAAAAAAAAAGCATTGGGTATTATGAGCTAGACTTTCAGAGTGCCAAAACCATGCTAGTGGCATCCTAGCTTTGTTGTGGTTAGTCTTGGAAGACATTGTTGTGATGATCAGCTTCAACTATAAATGGCTTTGCTATTGGGTAGAATAGGGAATTCTGGTAAGGGGTGTCATTACAGTCCATCACGTGACGGAAATTTAAATATAATCTATCTTAAAGTACAAATGTCATAAGAAAAAAACACAAACTTTTGACAAAAAAAACCCCCCACAAATTCTGACATTCTTTAGAAACTAGTAGAGGTCTGACTGTTCTGTTGAACCAAAGGCTTCGACAGTCTGAGTCTCTAAACTAGCAAAGCATACAGATTAGTGGAGAAAATAAGTCCTTATCTGCCAACTTTTTCTGCGCCTCCAGCTTGAAAGCAATGAGGCAAAAGGGTCAGAATGACAGGTAACTAGCATTTTCAGAAGTGCACATCACAAATGTCATCTCCCATGACAGACTTTCATGCATACATTTAACATCTATTGAATATACTTCTAAAGCTGGCCATAGAGGGATCTAAATTCGATTGGTTCAGCAGGAACTGGATGCATTTCGATCCAGCAATAACAGGTTGGTTCTACTGAAGTTGGTCAGTTGACCTCAGTACAACTAGCCTGTCGGTTTTTTTTTTTCCGCATACAATATCCCTGCTGCTGGCCATAGCAGGCAGCAGTGACCATTGTATTGACAGTGGGGAAACCTCCCGATGTCAGAATACAGTACCTTAGCTGAAGGGATTCCCTTACCGACATTAACTGTTTTGATGGTGGGAACAAGCGGTTTTTTTTTTTTTTTTTTTTTTTTTTTTTTATTTTTCCTTTTCTTTAACCTGTTGTTGAAGGAAAGAATATAGCGTGATGTATGGCCAACCTAAAGCTTGGACTCTTGCCACATCATGGGAATGCTAGGAAAACCTGTACAACGAGAGATACAAATCCTGCCATTTATGACCTCCTTCTGAATTTGCTATTTGCCTGGCTGTCTGTAGCTTTAATACTTTGAGCCCCTGGACTGGAACAAGCAGGTAGCAAAGGAGTTTGAGACGGGTCAGAATTCCGTATCTGTAATAGTCAGTGCAGTGACTAGGAAAGCATTGAAGCCATTGAGTAACTAGATCAACTGAGCAGCTAGAATTTTCAGCAAGAGTGGACTGCAGTAATAGCCGGTATATTTCTCTGAGCTAATTTTACTTTAGTAGTCTCCTTACAGATGGAATTCCATGGCGTATGGCCAGATATGAAACAAATGCTTTGTTCCAAGCTTCTAAATTATATTCTGTTCTATTTAAGTTCTCTTTCTGCCTCAGATGAGGAGAGTGAAGTCCTTCGGGCTGCAAAAGCGTTGCGTTTGGCCAGTACATTGGAAGATGAGAAGAGAAGGTTGCAGACTGAGGAGGAGAAGCACCAAGAAATAGGAGCATTACTGGAAAGGCAGCAGGAAATGTACCCTCATGTGCGTATATTGGGTATTTCCTGGGTTATATGATGGTTTTAAGAACCAATATACAGTATGTCTGTAGATACATTGTAAGTGTCTTTATCCTTTTTTATTTTAAGGTGCTCTTACGCTGCCTTTCCCTCCTCAGACAAGCTGCCTCTGATCTTCGTCTTCAAGCACAATCAGAAATTGATTGCATGAATGCGGAATACTTGGAAGCCAAGAGTAATGCGCTATTCTTAAAGCTCCGGTAAGATGTGCTCTGACCACTGTGCAGTTGTATAGTGACTGAGACATCTTAATTCCTGTTTAACACACCGTTATTTTATATTTTTTAAATTACACAGAATGGAAGAACTGCAAGTCCTCACTGACACTTACACCCTTGAGAAAGTTGATGTTCATAAGTACATCCGGTAAATCATTATATTATGATTCCATTAAAGCGTATATTAAGGAAAAATATATTACATCTCTGCAATACATGAACATATCCCCATCTTTTATCAATTTAAAGACCCTGCAGGTGCAGAAAAATGCCTGTTGCTCTGCTAGAAATGGACTTGACTTTTAAAGTGGAAGTAAAACCTCTTCTCCTTTTACAGCCAAATAAGCTACCATCCTCTATTTTTGATCTACAGTTGCCATACTGCTGCATATATGATTAGTTATGCTACAGGCATTTGATGGCTTGACAGCTCAGTTAAGAGCACAAGCAACTGTGACCGTTCTCATTCACAGCATGCCTTGAATATAAGTCTTTTGGAAACCTGTTAAATCAATGGCTTTAGTTCCGCTTTAAACTCTGTTGTGGACTGACAGCACAGTTTTTTTTTCTAGACTGAATGGTGTCAGCTCTGCCGGTTGTCTTTTGATAAATTACACAACCACTCCCATTCTCAGATCTCTACAACATTATGTAATTGAAGATAAGAACTGGAAAAGCTTAACAGACTCTTTTAAGGTGACACGGGAAGTATGCATGGGCCAAAGGACAGTTCTGACAAGGTGTCTGGGCTTTTTTTCTTTTTTGTATATCAAACTAAATGGTTTTAATGGTATATTTACTATTTAAAAGACGTTTTGTTAGGTTTTTGCCCTATAAGTGATAGAGGGATGCTTTATCTTCACAACTGACTTTACTTCTCTACAGGTCTAGTTTAGAGGCTGCAGTGAAGACAGAAAAGAACGAACTAGCTGCATCTAAGCAGATTCTTTCTTCATATGAGTTCCTTGGCACAAAATTTGAAGAGCTAGTTCAAGAATATACTCGCCTTAGGGATAAAATTAAAGATAATCGCTGGGCAATTCAAGAGCTGAGCAAGACGTTACCCTGAGCAAAATGAAGTTGAGTGGGCGGACTGTCTTTAGAAGAAAAATCGACAAGACTTTCCTTCTGTTAACAGAGCATATCTGAGCTGGCGTGAAATGCTTGTTTCATGTGATGTAATGTGGAAGCTGTCTTATTAGTAGAAGCTAATTTGAAATCTGGTATTCAGAAAATGTTTCCTTTTAACAGAATGGCAGCACAAGTCTACACAGTGGTTTATATTTTTTTTGTGGAGTCTATTCACATTTTGGTTTAGTAAAACGTGAACTATGAAAGAAATGTTTAGTTTTTGAACAATCTGCACATAAAATTTAATTTAACTGTAAATTAAGTTATGAGAGACAAATATAGAGCTACCGTTTGACCTATTTCAGAAAATGCTAATTGCTAGGCTTCAGCACTTTGAGTCAATGACATGGAACAAGTAGGCAGATTGGTACAGTCTGAAAAAAGTCAGAAGCCCTTTTCTGTACAGTTTCAGGTCCTGTTGTATAGGATTGAAACAGGAGGGCAAGATGACAGCCAGGGAACCTACATTTTTGAAAGAAGAGGCCTGACATGGCAGGCTCCATGTTTCTCTTGTAATAGGCTCTATCTATTAAAGCTGCTTATTTATTATTATACATTTATATAGTGCCAACATTTTGCTCAGAACTTTACAATATAAAGGGAGACGATACAGTTCAATACAAGAGGGTTAGGAGGGCCCTGCTCCTTGGAGCTTACAATCTAAGAGGGAGGGGCTGGTGGTACAAAAGGTAATAACTGTGGGGGATGAACTGATAAGAGGAAAAGAAGAATCCATTATTAGCTTGGTACTAGAATAAGAGCTACTAGTAACTCTTTTCAATGGATGTATGCGGTATAGGCCAGTAATTGCATATGGCCAGACACCCCGAATGCAGGCAGTCTACATTCAGGGTCATATAACTGCAAACGTGCATGTTTACGCAAGTAACCGGCATAAAGCAAGGTGCAAGAAAATGCACCCAAATTTTACCTTGTATAGCCCCAGGTGCCAGTGTACATGAGGACTAAAGAGATGTCAGGTTGTTTAGATTGCTGTTGACTTTTTTAAATACTTAGTTTAGCTTTTTACAGACATTTTTTTTTTTTTTTTTTTATTGTGAACGAACACCGTACACCCTCAATTCCATCCACACCCCTGCCCCTGCTTTCAACACCTCTAGGGATGCTGTGCTGTCAGTGCCCTCAGAGCCAGTCCCAGGATTTTATATCCCCATTCTTTGTGTTTCCAGGATGGGATGGCACTGACCAAGCAGAATCTCTTTGGTCCATCCTGGAAGCGCTGCACAAAGAAGTGGGAGGAGAGCGGGGATTTGCAAATAGCTGGACTGGCTGGGAGGCCCTGACAGGTCGGCATCCGCAGAGCTAGGTACAGCTGGGAGCTGGGGTGAGGAGAGTTTTTACAGTGCACTTCACCTTTTTTACATTTCTGTTTTTATAAGTGAATGAACAAGTAGTTTGCCTTCGGCTTTCCTCAGTGTCACAATCAATCAGCACATCTAGTTTATAATCAAAACTAAAAAGGCCCACTCAACTAAGGATGCTTTGGTAATCAAATCAACCTTCTAATAAGCACAGACAAAGAGGGGGAGATTTACCAAAACCAGTGCACTCTGAATCTGGTGCAGCTGTGCATGCAACCCTGTGGAAGTCAATAGTCGCAATCCTAGGAACAGTTAAAATCGAAATTCCTTTTAATGTTGGGTTAAAAAGCATGATGTGTAGGAGTGCCCAGACTGATACATCACCAAGTCAATGGAGAGGAGAAACACATATTTCCAGAAGCTGGAGGATGACACATGATCCTGGACCCAACAGTAGATTGCTCAGCCCATGAGCCTCAGGACAGTGGGAAGGGTGTGTGGATGGCAGCCACGGGGATCACTGAGTCCGCCGGAAGTCCCGTTTCCCAGATCCGATTATGTCATACACCTGGCAAGAGACTGCCTGTACAAGGGCTGGTGAGGGCAAACTGGAAGCCTAAGGGAACAGTCAAACCAAAGGATCATGAGGAAGGGGCAAGTCCCTGAAACATGTTATGATGACTGGCTTCTCTCCTTATGGTTTCAGTGCTCTCCTAGGCTTCCAGTTTGCCTTCTCCAGTCCTTTTTCAGGCAGCCTCTTGCCAGGTGTATGACATAACAACCGGATCTAGAACACGTGTCTTCCAGCGGACGCGCCATCTCCGCGATCCCAGCGTGGTCATGTCTCATTGCTGGTCTTTTATGAGTTGTTGGAGCTGCCTATACTGTGGTTCTCTACATATCCCCTGGAACCTCATTGCGCTCTGTATTTGCACCTTTTGCAGCTGTGATTGGTAGCCAATCCGCTTCTAACTTCAGCTTGTTCAATTAAGCTTTGAAAATAAAACCTGGAAGCTGATTGGTTTCTATGCAGAGCTGCACCAGATTTAGTACGATCCAGTTTTAGTAAATCTCCCCCAAAATGTCAGTAGGAAGGGGAAAAGAGCAAAATCTGCATTTCCATGACATTGAAAATAAAAGAAAAAAAAATGGTGAGCACATTTTTATTTCTGTATTTATTTACCAGACTGATGCTTTCCTCTTGGCAGACATAAGTATGGACATCCTGTTATGTTCAGAGTGCACTCACCTTGTTTTGTGATCAGGATTATAGGGACACTAGAGAGAAAAACATTGTATTCTGGTAACTGTATGTGGTTAATATCTGTAATGATAGTATTAAGTTGTCCAGCAGAAGTGACTAGGCTAGAGGTACATGGGTGATTTTTAATCTCTTAACTGACAGATTTAACCACTTGCTGGGAATCATCTGAATTGTTTGGAGCTACACATAGTAGTTTTTAGTAGCTGTATCCTGCTTTTAAAATCACCAGTGAATAATTGGTGGGCGTAACAGATGATTGCTAGACAAATAGATACCTGTGGAGTGAGCTACACAAGTAGCATGTAGTCATATCTTGTAACAATTGAGCGTATTAGTGTGATCATGTGAAACTAATGGCAACCTATGATGTAAGCTACACAAGTAGCTATTCATTCAAAGCTGTGCATACACTATACAATCTAATTGTATAATCTTTTAGATGTGCCAAATCTATGAGGTACAGTGTGGCCCACACTATGGAGGAAAGGTTTTATAGACTGGTAACAAAAATTGTGAAGGGCCTGAGGGATAAAACATTATCAGGACAGACTTCAGGAACGTAATATGGCCAGCCTGGAGCAGGGTTTCTCAACCTGTTTACCTTGGAGAAACCTTTGGCAAAAAGGTTGATCTCAGGGAACCCCTGAAATAATTTTCAGATCTAAATCTCATGGAATATTGGTGTGATCAGTGAGCTGTTGCTATAACAACAATTGTTTTTAGAAATTGCATTAAATAAACAGAGAGAATATTAAAATGTCCCTTATTAATGTGAAATATGCACTTTTTTTCAGCACAGTTCTGGATCGAACTTGAGATGAGCAGTATACAGGGGGTCAAGGGGGACAGAGCACAGGGAGTCAGGAGGGGAGGCAACAGTTCACAATACACTAGTGGTGTGGTTTTGTTCTAATGCAGAGCAGCGCAGGAAAGCGGTTGGCTGTTCTGTTGTGGGGCACCCTCCCCCTGCTGGCCCTCCTCTCTCTTGTCCATCCCATGTGATGTCGCATACAAGCTTCCTTGGGTTATTCTGCATGTGGGGAGAATACTGGGATGCAATCTACCCATCAGCTGCCTACAGTTAGAACCCCAGGGAACTTCTTGTGGAACCCTAGGGTTCTACAGAACCCCAGTTGAGAAACCTTGGTCTGGAGGAAAGAAGGGACAGGGGAGACATGATTGAAACCTTTAAATTACATTAGGGGGTTGAATAAGGTTCAAGTGGGCTGTATTTTCAATTTGAAGCAAAGCTCAAGAACATAAGGACTAGACCACAAACTAGCCGGAGGAAAGTTCAAAACTAACCATAGAAAGGAGATATACAAAGGGGGGGAGGTGCAGCGCTATAAATACTTAATAAACAGCAAATCGGATATATAATATACTAGACAGTGACTGAGTGGTAATGAAATAAGGCCACTGGATAGTGGCTACCAAAGTGAAAAGAGTGCAAAATAAAAGAGTCCAATGAAGGGGTGCTCTTAAGATAAGATCCAAGATGATCCTTATACGTCCAATGATTGGAACCCCAGGGTGATAAGTAATGTAAAGATTGCGCACTCACCAGATACGCAATCTTTATGCGCATTTGTATATACAGTCACCGGACCTCTGGAGTCATCAGACTGGTCTGGTCAGCAACAATTTCCACTGCCTGGCGCTCGGATAGATGCGGCTGCTCTGTAGATCTGGCTGGTTTTCACCAGAGCTCAAATAAACAGAGAGGGCCACATAGTGTGATATCCTTAAAGTATTTATTTCGCATACAGGCATAGGATGGCAGATACACTCCAATATACAGAAGATATACTGACCCAGATGTAGAACAAAGATGGCCGCCGGGGCCCCTCGTGGCGCCGGCGGTAAGGCGTCCAACCTACTGTAGCTCTCTCTGACGCGTTTCAAGCAAAAGCTCGTACTCATAGGGGTGCAGCTTACAGTAGTGGACGCTTGTAACACTGTTTAAATACAAGACGGAAGGTGGCGCATGCGCGGTATCACCCGCGCCATCTTCCGTGTGCTGGATGTCTGCGTAACGGGCGCCATTTTGATGTAGCCCAACCCGACGGCGCATGCGCAAACGCCCTATTATCGGGTACGCAGACAAACAGCAGGCAGTAATGCTGTGAACACCAGGACTCCGAGCAACATGAATCCACTATGCAGGATCATAGATGGATCATAATGCTATGGGCAGAGCTAAATATGGACAATGATGACCAAATCCAAGATGATGTTACATAGCTCATGTTTGCCATACTACCAATAGTTAAATTACAATAGATATATCATTAAACGCTATATATGGATATATCATTATTATTCACATGAGAGTGAGATGTGGATGAAATT